TTTCACCCCTTATTTTCATTTATTTATTTTACAAATAAAATCAATACATAAATAGTAATACATTTAATGTCTAATAAAATTATACATTTGAATTATTTATAACTCATGTCTCTTCATCTTACTTGTAACCTTTAATATTAAATATTATTCATAACTTTTGTATGTTTCATTTTTCATAAATCTTATAAATATTTAATAAGAAAAAGGACAAATATACCGTCGAACTATCGTAAATGGTATGTAAATACCCTTCGTTATACCTTTAGGACACTGATGCCCTTACCGTCTAATTTTTAGAGTGTATATACCCTTTGAACTAACGGAAAGACACGTGTCACGATCTAAACGGCTTATCCAAAATTAATTTAATTTTTACCCACACAATTAAAAAATTGACCCAAATAATTAAAAACCCACCAAATAATTTTAAGACCCACCCGTAAATAAATCTAATTTTCCCTTTCTTCTCAAGTTCCGGCAACCAAAGACTGCACCACAACTCCATTTTCTCCGGGGAAGTTCCACAAACAAAGCCACCTCTAACTGCTACAAACCCAGCATTCGGCGATCCGGTGAAATCAACGAAGTTGCAACCCTTTGGCCACCACGCACCCATCTCTCCCTCACCGTTGTTCCAATAGCTCCGGCGAGCAGCCGAGCATACCTCTAGCTCTCTTGACAAAGCTTCAATAATGGCGACCAAGAGGACACTCCGTAAACAAGAAAAAAACAATCTCATTTCCATCAATTGAGAAACCCCCAAAGTTCTACTCGTACATTCAAAGAGTTTTTGTCTGTGTCATTTATTTTGTCTAAAAAAAATTAGTGGATCTTACTTTGTTGATGCGAATTGTATTAAATTAGGGTAGAAATTAATATGAAATTTAACTTAAAAAAAAACTATAGCAATCTCTGTTAGGAAGGAGAAGATCGACAAATTTAACTTAAAAAAGAAGAAGCTATAACCTTCTCTGTTAGGAAGGAAAAGATCGAGAAGATAGTCTATTGGGGGTTTGGGGTTATAATTTGGTGCGGGTCTTAAATTATTTTGGCGGGTTTTTATTTAATCGGGTCAATTTTTTAATTATGGATAAAAATTAAATAAATTTTAGATAGACCGTTTAGATCATGACACGTGTCCTTCCGTTAGTCCAAAGGGTATATACACTCCAAAAATTAAACGGTAAGGGCATCAACGTCCTAAAAGTATAACGAAGGGTATTTACATACCATTTATGATAATTCAGGGGTATATTTGTCCTTTTTCCCATATTTAATTAATGCTTAAAAAATTATAATAAGCAAATATAATAATAAGGACATAATAAAAAATCAATTTTTTTTTATGAAATTAGAGTTTGAATAGAAAATTAGTACTCCTACAAAAGATAGAGAAAATTAAAACATAAAAAATATTTTCAACGTAATACAATATATTGTTATTTCAACATATTATCTCTTATTCCATTTACTTCACAACGGTGAATATTTTGTTCTACTATATACATATACAAAAAAATTATATTTTATATGTTTAAAAAAATTGAAAAAACCTATGATATCGCAGATGAAGAGAAATATTAATATTATCTATATATTCGATACTAACCTAAATATTACATATTTCATATTATTATCTTATAAATATTTCATATAGTTGCGCGAAGCGCGGATAGTTTCACTAGTTATTACTATAATATCGAGATTATAATACAAGAAAAAAAATTAATGACGAGTTTATTAAGTGGTGATTTACTTTATGTTTTAGTCCATTAGACTAAAAACATGATATGTGAAGTATAATATATATATATATATATATATATATATGAACGTGTGTTTGGGTTGCACCAGATAAATTAATAAACTATTACTTCTACTTCTAATTTTTGCTTGTACATTGTTGGCGGAATGACCTGGGAGGCCCTTATATTTGACTCTGTTTGTAAGTTGGACCTTTATACTTACAATTTTGTCAATTAAATCCTTAAACTCACTGAAACACAATATTTTAAACACTTTCCTCATCCTATGTGTGTTCGTGTGGTACACTCATTTACATGTAGGATTCCATGTCATTTTTCATATAAATTTGATACACACTTGCTTTAAAACGCGTGGAATCACGCATCATTCAAAGTCAGCAATATTAATGCCACATGTGTTCAGTCAATGGTCAGGGGTATTTAATATATTGTGTTTCAGCAAGTTTAAGGATTCAGTTGGCAAATTCGTAAGTATAAGGTTCCAACATACAAACGGAGCCAAGTACAACGGCCTCCCAGACCATTTCGCCTACATTGTTTAAAGACTTTTAGAGAGTTCTTTAGGAGAGTATCTGTTATTTTGGTGTTTTTATATCACGTGGTTACTAATTTCAAGACTGTTATCAATTATTTCACATTGAGTATGATATAAAAATAATATATCATCCGATTTTTAAAAAATCCAATTTTGAAATGTGAGGTAGAGCTAGACTTCTCATATGAATTCAATAGAACTCAATTATTTTGAATCAAACCTCATACTAATGTTTAAAAAATTACCTATAACTTAGTAAATAACATCTTTTAAAATTTAGAACCCATAAACATAGAATGTTAGTTCCATTTCTAGCAAAATAAATCAAAATCTGAATTAATATACCATGACATATTTATCTCAAGATTATTATTCTTGATTGACGAATCAAATAAGGCCTAAAAAGTAAGCAAGTTGAAGGTGGCAATTGTAGTCAAATACATTCGGAAGTGACGTGAGTGCTAGAGATCTATCGTATCTTTGTCCTAGGATTTCCCTTTGAATTATTACTCTCTTCATGTATAAGTAAATTAAATAAAATAAAATAAAATAAAATTTAGTACCGTAGTAGAAAGCAAAGCATTTGATGTGATAGAAGCATTTGTGATAAAAAAAGAAAAAGAAAAAAGAATTGAACCTTAATTAGACCATCTCCAACCATCTCTATTTTACTCTCCATTCTTTATATTTGGAGAGTAAAAGAGAGAATGGGTTCTTCAACCACTCTCTATTCTTCAATTATACTAGTCAAAAT